CCGTACCGAGCCGTACCGTGCCGTACCATGCAGTGGAAAAGTGCCAAAACCTGGTCAGCCAGAGCATTGCATTAGACAGGCCTAAACAGACTTCACAACGACCTTTAAAACGACCACTAATTTCAGGCTTCAGACTATTACTGAAACAGAAAGCCTTTCAAAATGTGTGTGTTAGGGCTGAACGATATTGGAAAAAACTCACATTGCTATATATATATATATATATATATATATATGCGGATGCGCACATCGCGATATCGATGCTGAAACGATATATCGTGCAGCCCTAGTGTGTGTGTTTAAAAATGTCTGTCGGCACTAGATCCTCAGGAAACCTTCAGTTTAAAGCTTTTAAACCGTGGGCTCAACACTACCTGTCATCTCTCACCCTACAGACTGATGGAGCTTGTGAAGATATTACACACATTCACACCACACACACTCACACGTACACAAATATAGATGTACAGTATCTACAGCACAATGGTAGGAATGTGTTTTTGCATAGCATTTACACTGCTGTATACATATTAGAAAAGGACTGCTTTACGATATATATACATAGGAGAATACAGAATTCAACTGATGCCAGAGGTGTGTTCATCAGTTAAATTACAACAGGGTTGAGCGTTCAGAATTGAATTGAGAATGCTTTATAAATTCCAATTCACTTCCAGAATTTTAATTGAGGTAGCAAACAGGATGCAGAGTTGCTATTCAAATTTGAATTGAAAGAAGTACAACTGGCATAAACAAAATGCAAAGTGTACTTTCTAACTAGAAAAGGAAGGCTTGTCAAGACATTGACAAAATTTTACATTATGGCTTGACAAAGCCTTGTCTGAAAGTTTAAATAAAAAGTTCAAAAAGTCTTTAAGTCTGAAAGTTTTATGCACTGAAAAAAAAAACAGTTTAGAAACAATTTCCGATCAGAAATTGCTAGTATATTTTACAAATAATTTAAAAAAAAAAAAAGTAACACCACATAAAATTAAATGTGACATTTTAAAGTAGAAAAACTGTACAAAAAATACAAAGAATTTTATTTTTAAAATGCACTCCAATAATCTTTTATTTATTTTACACTGTAAGCTTTTTTTATTATGTGAAATGCTACCTAAATGATTTTGTAAATAATTTATATATCTTTATATTATTAATAAATCAACTTTCATTTTATGTGTCAGGGTGGAAGAGCGCTTCATTTCCCAGAAATAAATTTCTTTAAAACTGCAATTGAGACCAATGCAATTCATAATTCTAATTCAACTTCCTGTAGTGCGTGATTAATTAAATTCAAATTCACACTAATGAATTCTAAAATTCAATTTTTTTTCACCCAATGAGAGTTTTATAATACAACTTTTGCTCTTATATAATGTGTGAACCTGGCTTTGTAGTTTGTACTGATGCCAGACTTCATTTGTTATGAATAGACTGATTTTTTACTATGTCCTCCAAATAAAAAGTGAAAAAGACATGAAGTGCCTTTCATTTGTACAGTATTTCATTTACTGGCTTATCTTAAAATATCATTACCAGATGGTTATTTAATACATTAACCATTTGCAAATTGAATTTTCAGAAAAAAAAAAGAAAAAGCCTACATTGTGATCTACACATACCAATATGTAAGATGTCGGTCATTCCGCCCACCCATAATGATTTTTTTCCAGTATTGGCAGTAGTTCAGTTTGAACCATATGAGCGTGTGTGTGTGTGTGTGTGTGTGTGTGTGTGTCCTTGTCACCTTCCTTTTCAAAGCGTCTCTCACCGCATCAGCATTCATAATATCACCTCTCATTAACACAGAAAAATTACTGACACAGAGGGAAGGAGAGGCAGAGATAAAGAATGAGA